CTATAATTTTGGTAAAACTTGTGTTTTTCACTATAGAAATCAATGGAAAACGGAAAATACTTTCAAATTTCAAAACATCTCCCCCCTTTATATGAGTAAAACACAAGAAAAGATTTAAGGAACATTTATTCATATCCAAGAATATTTTAAAATGTGGTGATGCTTTAAAGCCCGATTTTCAATGAAAAATATCGTCTACCCCCCTTATTTAAAGAGCTGGAATTAGGAGTAATTAACTATTTAACACTGGTATTAAAATTATCAGTCAATTACCATTGAACTGTTCTTTGCATTAAACAAAGATTTTACAGCCAAATTGCCATAAGTATTGAAATAAATGGATGTAAAATGTAGGCGAATGAATCTACACTACCTGAAAATGCTTCCATATAAATAAGACCAATCAGGGGTTTGCTGTTTCTGAGAAGATTTTTAAAGGTTTTTCCTGTATATTTCTATGTAAAACTTTGATCCTCCCTCGTGGCCCAACACTACCCTCGGGGGTCATGATTTGAACAAATTCTAACCATCTTTCCTGGCCCTCTGGTTCTTGAGAAGAAGGTTTTTTAAAGATGCTATTAATTTTTTCACTAATTCTTTATTATCTCCCCTTGAAAGAGGGCCTGTCCCTTGATTTGAACAAACTTGAATTCCAGTCACCCAAGGATACTTTGTGGCAAATTTGGTTGAAATTGGCCCAGTGGTTCTTGAGAAGTCGAAAATGTTAAAAGTTTACAGACAGACGGACAGCTAGACAGACAGACGGACGCCAGACAAAAAGTGATCAGAAAAACTCACTTGAGCCTTCGGCTCAGGTGAGCTAAAAACACTATTACCCGTTGAATGATGAAGCCACGCCCTCCAGCGTAGCAAAAGTCAACATTGCTTGACGACGAGTGGTATTCCAAAAAATAGTGACTGTGCAGAATTTTTGTGAAATAGTAGTCAGGGTTTGACACATCATGCACGAGCCAGAAATCAGAGTGCATTATGTGTCAAACCCTGACTACTATTTCAGCAAAGTACATCTAAATAATAACACTAATTTGATTATTATGCTGACTGTTGTTTGTATATGACAATTTAATAAATTTAAAATTCTGAATCCCAAAGCTGTTTGCGGATGTTAAATCTAAATGAAAATTTTCCTGAACATTCTTTAAACAAGTGTTATATCTAAAAGCATTTTAATGACTCCTGTTACATTGCAATTTTGAATATTGATACAATTAAGTATTTATTAGAGAAATTTTTTTTCAAGATCCTTGTCAATGATATCAGCATTTTGAAAATGATATTTTTTAATTTTTTTTGGGGTGTCAAATTTTACTAGGAAAACTATGTATATATACTAGCTATAAATACATTTGGTTAATGATAGGTTTTTGTGGCGTAATGGTAATGCGTGGGACAGACAATCTCACAATCGCAAGTTTGACATCCAACTTTGAGCTTTACACATTTCCTTTCAAAAAGACAGCTGTGAACTATTTTGGCATAGTATGCTTACGCTATATAAATCCTTAGAGCACTGCAAAGATAGTTAGGTATTGATTACATGAAGACAAACTGACAGGAAACATTTTAACAAGAGGTCCATGGGCCACCTGAGCACATTGGCTAGGAAAAAGCACAAATCACTTCAGTATTGAAAAGTTTAAAGGGGGGGGGGGGGGGGGCTTGGATTTTGAACTACCTGAGGATGCTTCCATATCAATATATCAAATGGCTTTGCTGTTCTTGAGCAGAAGATTTTTAAAGATTTTTTTCCTATATATTCCCTTATTAAAAATTTGATCCCCCATTGTGGACCCTCCCTAACCCTGGGGGTCACGATTCGAACAAAGTTAAACCTACACTATCTGAGAATGCTTCCTTATCAACATGACTTAACAAGGCTTTGCTGTTCTTGAGAAGAAGATTTTTCAAGTTTTTTTTCTGTATATTCCTATGTAAAACTTTGATCGCCCATTGTGGCCCCACTCTACCCCCAGGGGTCATGATTTGATACAAACTTGAATCTGCACTACCTGAGGATGAATCCACATCAATATGATTAATTGTGACTTTGTTGTTCTTGAGAAGATTTTTCAAGATTTTTTTTCTATATAGGTTCACTTCTATATAAATAGGGATCTGGGGCCCGTTTTACAAAAGAACTTACGACTAAGATCAAAATTTAATTCTGCTCATTACTTTTTATTTTACATTAATTTGAAAATGGTTTTGATCTATTTTAAAAGAATTTCGAAAGATAAATTTATGTTAACAATTTCAAACAGAATAATTAATTTCGCAAAATTTTACAATCAACTTAAGTTTCTGGTCTTAGTCGTACGTTCTTTTGTAAAACGGGCCCCTGACCTATAGGGCCGGGCTTGGTTTTTTCTCTACAAAAAGCTTGTCGATTTCCGTTCCGATTAATGACATTAGGCTGAATACATGTAACAATTTGTTTTTCATAAATCTTTATTTCAGTGAGTAGAGGTAGGAGGAACACTTTCATTGATATTCTGAGTTTGTTATCTCCATATGTAATAAATGATATTTTTCTTTACTTCTCATTGTACATAATGGTAATGTCTACTGTCTCTGGAACTCTATTTTTATGTCTAGGCTATTTATTTTACAACACATTTCCGTTGGATATAATAAAAACATGCCATTAATGTGTGCAAATCATATAGGGCCTAAATGAAATCCAAGGGAGTACAGTTACTGATATATGTAGCCCTACTGTTTCAAAACTTAAGATCTTAAAACACTGACTGAAAACAAAAGTACATGTATGTTATTCTAAATATATTAAGCTCATATAATTCAAGCAATACGTAACATTCATGTACTACATGTAACCCAGACAAGCACTAGTAGCACAGACAGAATAAAAGCAATGTGATTAAATTCTAAGGAATATATACAATTGAAATTCATCGCAGCTCAATGTTGCCGAGAATACCTGTATCTAGTAACACAGAGAGAGTTGTTCTTGTCCTCGGAGAAAGTGTGCTATACTGAGACTTGTTCCGCCTGACTGACAACTGTACATTGGATTGTTATGATTTGATCTCTTTCTACTAGTGTTTCTTATATCAAAAATGGGAATGCATAAAGGATAGATAATTGAAGAAACATACACAAGCCTATAAAAAAAATTAAAATAGTCTTTGAAAAGGCAAAAATTTAAAACTATAAAAGTGTGGCAACAGGTGGATTCGAACCCCCGACTTTAAAAACAAAGTACCCACAATATAAAAGTCAGTGCATATATCAAATGAGCTATTCTGACTACAAGAGTGAACGGTATAAATTCGAAGCAGATTGTCAAAATCAAGTTTACTTATTTTTTGTAGGTTTTTTGTGAATTATGACCCTAGGGCAGGGGTGCCCCTAAAAAAATCCTATCTTAAATTATTCCTTACATCCCAACCTATCAAAATATCACAATTTTATTTAGGGGCAGGCCTGCCCTGAAGGACTTCTAGGCCAAAATTTATGCAAAAATTAACGCTTTAACAGACAAAATGGTGTTTCGGCCAACTTTGGAGGTTTATTGTGAAGTTGTAAATAATAAATTTTAGTTGTAAAATTCAAATTTGAAAAATTTAGACATATATACGGTAGAAAACAACAAATAAAGACTGATTTTTAAATGTCACTTTTTCCGGGAAATTGTTCTCTCCTATAGGTCAATTCTTTTGTAATAGTGAATACATCCTTTCTATGTAAAACTTTGATCCCCCATTGTGGCCCCACCCTACCTCTGGGGGTCATGTTTTGTACAAACTTTAATCTACACTACCTGAAGATGCTTCCATATTAATATGACTAATTGTGGCTTTGTTGTTCTTGAGAAAAAGATTGGTAAAGATTTTTTTCTTTAAATTCCTATGTAAAATTTTGATCGCCCATTGTGGCCCCACCCTAACCCCTGGGGGTCATGATTTGTACAAACTTGAATCTACACTACCTGAGGATGATTCCATATCAATATGACTAATCGTGGCGTAGTTGTTCTTCAGGAGAAGATTTTTAAAGATGTATTCCTATATATTCCTATGTAAAACTTTGATCCCCCATTGTGGCCCCACCCTACCCCTGGGGGTCATGATTTGAACAAACTTGAATACACACTATGTAATGAAGGTCTCACATAAGTTTCAACTTTTACAGCCCTGTGGTTCTTGAGAAGAAGATTTTTAAAAGATACCACCAAATTTTCACTAATTCTTAATTATCTCCCCTTGAAAGAGGGTGTGGCACTTCATTTGAACAAACTTGAATTCCCTTTACCCAAGGATGCTTTGTGGCAAGTTTGGTTGAAATTGGCCCAGTGGTTCTTGAGAAGAGGTCGAAAATGTGAAAAGTTTACAGACAGACGGACAGACAGACAGATGGACAGTCGGACGACGGACAAAATGCGATCAGAAAAGCTCACTTGAGCCTTCGGCTCAGGTGAGCTAATAATAAAATATGATGAAAAACATAAAAGCAATATGTACATACCTGCCATACACTTGTAATGTCCTGGTGACGTCGCACCTTGTTGTAAACAAGGTATTTTACGATGTTAGGGTAGATGACTTTAGGCCAGTTCATCATGTCTTTTGTCCATTCACCCTTTTCCTTCTCCTAAGGATCTTTATCTTCAAATGCTCATAGCTTTTCCACAAACCTGGTTCATGTGATAGTATCCAAGGTGTCCAGACAATGCACTTTTGCCCTGGAGTCTGATATTTTGCTGTTTAACTTAATTAATCAACGTAAGTTTCATTGACATAACTAGTTTTTGCCCTACAAGATGGTGCAACGTGCAGAGGATTATGGGTAACTTAAAGTCATATTAAATGGAAAATGGTTTCATTCCATATTTAACTACTTAACTACGTTCAAGTATCTATCACTGTTATTCACATGTATTCATTATATTAATTTCTCAAAAAGTTTTTTTTTTTTTGTGAAAGCACATTAATTGGTCTGGCCATCACTGTTAAAGAATAATTTAAATTATTGACATCACTGTTTTTCAGAAATATGTTGACTTTGTTATTCACAAATATCCATCATTTTTATCGATGAAAGGAAGTACACAATCACTATCCATGATGAAATATCTCCGTATCCAATGGAGTCGAAATGTCACATTTATCAAAACTTCATCATAAGTTCCTGTCCAAAATCCTGGTCATGATAATGTCACATACCTCTCAGAACTTAGTAAAACTGGTCCTTTACGTGATGCTCTGAAAAATACAGAGGAGAAAACTTAATATTCATGTAAATAGTTTTTTATTTAAATTAAACCTTTACCATATTGTTATTAATTGTTTTATTAAATTTGGAAAATTTAAATTTGTTTACAGTCAAACCTCATTATCTCAAACTTGATGGTGCCAAGAAAAATATCTGCGATAACTGAGGTTAATGAACATATAGAAAAAGTGTTTGGGACTTTCAACACTTTGACATATCTATGATATTGGTGATATAAGTGTTCGAGATGTCAAAGTTAAGCTGTTTTCCGTTTTTGAGCAATGTCTTTGTCATACTGATTTATCAAATTATTTCATTTTAGGACTCACACAAGGAAATAATTTCACTGTATGTTTCTTGCTATATAGCCTTAATTGAATTAATTATTAAACTAGAAACTCACCATATAATCAATGAAAGAGAAAATAAAGACTTTCATCATTCAGAATAATACTGTCAATCTGATTGGTTTAGAGCAAATCACATGAAGGGAGACAATTCATGAAGTCTCTCTCACATGCAGGGTGCCAACTGTGTTGTTGCCCTTCAGAGGACGAAATAATGCAAGCAAGCATACAGGGTGACAACTGTATTGTCTCCCCTTAGATGAAAATAAAATGTCGTATATCTTATTTATATACAAAATTGATATATATGCAGGATTGGTAAACAATACAAGATGTGTTGTTAATGCCACGAATGCCCCGTGCAGGCAGCCAAAATTTCAAATTGCACATTTGTAGCCAAAATATTGATTAGAAATTGTGAATTTTTACATCTTTTCCAAATTCAAGAGAGATAACTCTGTCAAAAATCATCAGACCACACCTAAATTCAATCTTGACCTGTATTTTCCGGTAAAATCCATGCATATGCAATTTCAACCTACATATGTAATACATACATCTCCCAAAAAGTTAGAGAGCAGGAACTGAAAATTTCTTATTTTTTTCTAAGTTCAAGAGAGATAACTCTGTCAAATATTATCAGACCATGACCAAATTCGAACTTCACACCTGTCTATACCTATGACATATCCATATGTCAAATTTGAGTTGAATGTATGCATCTGTTGCTGAAGTAACGAATGGAAGGTCAATGATGATGGAATGATGGAACAGGGTAACACTATTTTATGGCAGGGCGGGGGCATAAAAATCTAACGGTGGTGTCAAATTGTGTATTGATATATTTGAAAAGTGTGGAGTTGAAGCAGTGGGTAGGAGAGCACAAGAGGTTGACTGATATTTTCTTCTCTATGAAATTAAGATTCTTTAGGATAGTTTAGTGATTTGTTTAGGAGATATAAAAATTTATCAGGTCTGGGTAGGATTGTGCTCTCGTGTCCTCAGGTGCCAACCCTACTCAAACCTGATAATTTGTGATGTCTCCCTTCAAACTTTCAAATTCTCTTCAATTCAGTAGGTCAATTCAACAGAGATTTTTACATAAGAACTGAATTTTCCTGTCCTGCTGAAAAATTGAATACTGCGTGTTAGTGTGGTATGATAATTCATTGGATACTGTGTGGTAGTGTGGTGTGATAATTCATTGGATACTGCATGTTAGTGTGGTATGATAATTCATTGGATACTGTGTGGTAGTGTGGTGTGATAATTCATTGGATACTGCATGTTAGTGTGGTGTGATAATTCACTGAATACTGCGTGTTAGTGTGGTATGATAATTCATTGAATACTGCGTGTTAGTGTGGTATGATAATTCATTTAATACTGCATGTTAGTGTGGTATGATAATTCACTGGCACTGAAGGTGCTGTTATGATATTGGACTGACAACATTTAAAAACAAGATGTGTTTGTGAAACACTACGCCCCCGATGGTAACACAATTCTGGAGTGGGACTTAGACTACAGTGCAATAGTTATTGCCTATGTTAAAAGTTTCTCAAATGTAGGTCAAAGGTCACAGTTGAGGTCACATGATCAAAAATTTCTGTACCAATGGAAAGATCTTGTCATAATGAACACTCATGTCAAATATTAAAGCCTTATCCTTGACAGCACAATAGTTATGGGCTAGGTTAAAGTTGACAACAGACAGACAGACAAACAGACAGACAGGACAAAAACAATATACCCCCAGGATCTTTCGATCTGGGGGCATAAAAATAAAGCAACACATTTGAGAACTATAAAAGGAAAAATGTGGACTTTTGACATCTATCAGAGAGGAAGCTAGGTAACATGGACTTCTGACATCTATCAGAGAGGAAGGAGATAAAATATATGTAACACACAGGAAAAGAAAGTTACCTGTCCAGGACATAAAGACTGTACTGCAACCATTCCTCCAGAGACCATAATGGGGATGAATAGAAATGGGCTGCAAAATGTAATATCATACTTTCATGTAAATTAGCTGAATCTGATTCATCAAGAAACATTTGTTAAACAAGATGTGTTTGTGAAACGCTGATGCCCCCATATGGCAGCTTATGGCAAAGGTTAAAGTTTCTCAAATGCAAGTCAAAATCCAGGCCAGAAGATAAAAAATGTTGGTACCCAAAGAAAGGTCTTGTCTCGAGGAATATACCTGTGAAATTTAAAACCCCTAGCTGCAACTGTTCAAAAGTTATGGCAGAGGTTAAAGTTTTTTTAAAAGTAAAGTAAAACGTCAAGGTCAAGGTCAAAGTTGTTGGTATCCAAAGGAAGGTCTTGTCACAAGGATTACATATGTGAAGAATGAAAGCCCTAGCACCAACCATTCAAAAGTTATGGCCAAGGTTAAAGCTTTTAAAAAGTAGGTAAAACTCCTATATCAAGGTCAAAGGGTCAAAGTGGTTGGTATCCAAAGGAAGGTAATGTCACAAGGATTACGTATGTGAAGTATGAAAGCCCTAGCATCAAAAATTCAAAAGTTATGGCCAAGGTTAAAGTTTTTCAAAAGTAGGTCAAAGTCCTAGGTCTAGGTCAAAAGGTCAAAGTGGTTGGTATCCAAAGGAAGGTGTTGTCACAAGGATTACATATGTGAATTATGAAAGCCCTAGCTCCAACAGTTCAAAAGTTATGGCCAAGGTTAAAGTTTTTCAAAAGAAAATCAAACTCCAAGCTCAAGGTCAAAAGGTAAAAGTTGTTGGTATCCAAAGAAAGGCCTTGTCACAAAGAATACACATGTGAATTTTTAAACCCCAAGCACCAACTGTTCAGAAGTTATGGTCAAGGATAAAGTCTCATAAAATTTTGTGAAAGTGGGTCAAACTCCAGGATCAAGGTCAAAAGGTCAAATATGATGGTACCCAAAGAAAGGTCTTGTCACAAGGAATACACATGTGAAATATGAAAGTCATAGCTCCAACCAATCAAAAGTTATGGGCAAGCTTAAAGTTGATAACAGACAGACAGACAAACAGACAGTTTGTAGTTGAGTGTAACATTGAAAATTTTTACCCCTCGAAAACCATTGTCAACCCCGGCTGCGCCTTGGTTGACAATGGTTTTCTTATAAAGTAATGACCGTCCACTAGTCATTCCCCATTTCAACAGTGATGGAGATAAGGCCATTGCATCTGAAAAAACAAGGACATGTCATTGAAAACCTTTAAAGACTTGCCTCACTTCTTTGATTCTCAAAGAAACAGACTGCTAAAGCTCCATTCAGCAGTCATGTTTCCAGGAAGAACTAAAGCCATAAGAGAATCCATGCAGAGAAGATTTGCCTTGGACCTAAAGCTTCGATGAAGGACAGAGGACGAGAATTGCTACAAACACTACTGTGAAGACTTACCTTTGATGAAGCTCGCTATGCATACTGTATTCTGTTCATCATAAGCTGCTACCTGGGACAGTGTGGAAAGTCCAGTCAACTTTATTCTTTTTCCTGTCGAGGACTGAAAAGCAGTAAATGGAAATCTTCAGTGTTGCCTACTGACTCTGAATTAAACATGACAGAAGACAAATGTTTGTTGAAAGACTGTATAATTTTTGACTAAATTAAATATCACACTTGTGCAAAAAATCTGAATATGTGAAATAGGCAGCTTTAAAATCCAATCCAAAATGTATAAAAAATAATAGACATTTTGAAAGTAGAATACATAAAGTTGTGCACTCATTGAATAGCGGTCATGGAAAACTGAACATTGGAACTTTGTGAATCTGTAGGGGCACCTCTTGTAAAAGGAAGTAGAGTGGTCCATCATCTAAAACAACAACAAAATAGGCAAAATTACTTTTTTAACCTGCAATAAAAACTGTTTAATTATAAATCTCAAAGAAAATACTGTAGATTCAAAAGATATTAGTTATATGCTAAAGAAAACCTCAATTAAGCTACCCTCACAGTAAATCAGTAACAGATCCAAAACTTAAAACTTTCAGAAAGTTGTGTGAAAAATACAGGGGGGCATTGATGCTGTGTGTGGAAAAGCCTGTGTCTCTGCAGAACCCAAAACAGGTGCGCTAACAGAGATGTGTTCCCAAGATGACAGGGCAATACGTACCCAGCATCTCCAGGACCACTACACTCTTCCCTATTTTGAGAAAAGGCATCCCAGTCTGTTACAATAGGACAAACTATAATATACATAAAATAATAAAATTAAGCTCCTAGTCGTGCTTACCACACTTTACCAGTTACACATATATGTTCATAATAAATACACAGGAAAATATAACGTTCATAATAAATACACAGGAAAATATAACAATTAATATCATACTCACACATCACATCCCTCCAACATGCGAGTTATCTCGGTATACACCAGGAAGTCCATCCAACATGCGAGTGGTCTTGATACCCTAGGAAGTCCATCCAACACGCGAGTCGTCTCGGTACACCAGGAAGTCCTCCAACATGTGAGTCATCTTGGTACACCAGGAAGTCCTCCAACATGTGAGTCATCTCGGTACACCAGGAAGTCCATCCAACACGTGAGTCATCTCGGTACACCAGGAAGTCCATCCAACACGTGAGTCATATCGGTACACCAGGAAGTCCATCCAACACGTGAGTCATCTCGGTACACCAGGAAGTCCATTCAACACGTGAGTCATCTCGGTACACCAGGAAGTCCATCCAACACGTGAGTCATCTCGGTACACCAGGAAGTCCATCCAACACGTGAGTCGTCTCGGTACACCAGGAAGTCCATCCAACACGTGAGCGGTCTCGGTACACCAGGAAGTCCATTGTTGTGTCATACTCCTGTTGTCTACCATTAGGTCTATCGATGACATCCATTCACCATTCACGCATCTGAACACGTACAAATACCCAACACAAGAGATGATGCTTAGACACCACAACCACAACTGCCACGGAAACACTCCATCCTGTAAGGTAAGCTCTACATACATTTTTAATGGTGCAACCATTAAACAGATTAAGTAAAACATGATTAATTTTGGGGACCTGTTTATTCCATACTAATAGGTAAGTAAATATTCTGCATGAACCTCTTCAACTGAGATTCAAATTATTCTCTAACCACAGGTTTGTTGACTTCTTCACCACTAATTGCCGACACTTTCTGGTACTCAGCACTGATGTGCCTCAGGCCCATGGGATACTCAACACCACATGGTTGGCTGGGACTCTCTGACTCTACAAGTACGGAGTCAGACAGAATGGCTTGTACTTCTGCAAAATGCACCTTGGACATCCCTGAGATTTGGCCAGTAACATCAAACACAGATCAGCCTGAATCAATCCATAACTGGACCTGCTCTGGCCCTCCAAAATAAATAATCTAACCAAATCCCCCTCAAATTCACCCAGTTGCTGCTCCGACAATTTCCGACTACACTTACATGCACGGCTCCTGGAGAAATTCCCTTTGCTGACACAAAGATTACCATCATTAGTGTACATGACATATCCTATGATTAGGCTGATCAGCATATCAACAGGATATTTGTCTATCCTGCTGAACTAACATGTTCACATACTGTCCCCTTAATCCTAGCGTTTTCCTCAGGTACTACAGACAGGCCTGCAGTGGGGGAACTCCCTCATCTTGTGACCATGAAGGGCACGACCCTCCCCAGTTAGTACCTTCCCCCTCTGGCATTAACTGATCTACTGATTCCCTCCAGTTCCAGCCTCTCTCTGACACTCGGCAAAGTGTCAGAAACTACAATGACTTAACTAGACACCTCTAAAACATAATCTGGGAGCAATTCCTCCTCCCATGAGTCTCCAATATCTGACGAGACAGCTCGATATGGCATTATGCCCTGCATGAAATCTGCTCCATTGAGCAGGACTGCTTATTACCTCATTTGTACCAATATAGTGACATTAGGTATCTCAACCATCTTCATAGTTGTATTTGTAGTTTGAAAGGAGTAAAAATACCAAAAGGTGCTGAAAAATGGTCCATCATCTCTTTAATAGAGGCTAAAACCCCCTATTTAACTTGACCCATCCATCTGGCTACCCATATGTGGATTTCCTCTAATATCATGCCTGGATCTGCAACTTCCAGAACTAAATACAATACTCTTGTGATCTCACTAAGAAACTCGAAGAATTTGCTTAGGTCGTATACCCCTTCTTTTGACCTTTCCAGACATAGGTCAACTTAGGGTCACTCCTGAAAACTTCTCCCTGTCACCTGCACAGGGTACACTTTCTCCAACCTCAAGACCCTACTCCATGAATTCTGCCCCCCTTTGCACCTGCAGGGCTGAGAAGCAGCATACCTACTCTACCCACCCTTATGGGTAGCAGAGTATTTGAACTCGTTGTCACAAGAAAACTATCCTTGGTTTGTTTAGCTTTTGTAATTCAACTATCTCCAACCAGGATGATTCCAGCTTCATTGAAACATCTCTAGCAGCAGAAAGAAGTCCCCTGATCCTTCTGGGATTCCAGTGACCTGACCTTGACCTCCACCAGTTGGTCCACTAGCACAGAAACATCCGACATCAAATACATAATGTACAAATTCATCTATTTCCTTAGCCTCCTTCCTTATTGCTCAATCCTTATTGATATAAATCATCATCATTTGTCATCTAACAAAATAAGTATTTATAAAAATTATATTTAAATCAAAAGCACCTTTAAAAAAAAAAAAAAAAAAAAAAAAAAGAGGCAGATAAAGAATTCAAGGGACAGGCCAAGATAAGTAGAGTTCATTGATATAGTATTTCATTGTAATATTATAATGCCTGACTTTGTATAGCTCTGGTCAGCTGTTCATAATGACTTGACACTTACATTCCACATGTGTCAAAAAGTTTGTTTCTTTGTCAGTGGATGTCAATACGTTGAATGGAGGTACTGATTTTTAAAAATGATACATCACAGATTCCATCCAACTTTGATGAATACATCCCGATATGAATTAATCTACATCTAAAAATAACAC